ACACTCTGGGGACATTTAGGGACACTCAGGGACAGGGGATAGGGGTGAATGAGTTCCCTCAGCAGCTTCCAGCTTTCCACTGTGCCTGCAGCAGAGCTGGGTCATAAATGACAATTTAATAATTGGTTTCTGCAGTTCTGCATTGGCTTCTGCAAGAAAATATGTTCACAAGAATTTTGCTCTGGTACTTGATTATTGATTATTGATAATCCCTTGCAGCTGTCAGGGACTCCCCCCAATTCACCAGGGCCCCCACACACACCAGGACCGCCCCCATTCACTGCTTCCCCCCCTTCACCGACCCCCCCAAAGCGCTGGAACCCCCCCNNAGGGAAAGGGGCAGAGTGGGGAGGGGGCGGGGATGGGGGAGGGCGAGGAATGGGAGCGTGGGAAAAGGGGCGGGAGCAACAGCCAATGGGGAGTGGAGGGGGCGTGGCCTGAGGGGGAGGGGAAGGGGCGGGCAATGAATGGGGCGTGAGAAGGGGCGTGGCCTGGAAGGAAACGAAACTGGGCGGGGCTTGTGCGGGCGTGAATGGGGTGTGGGAAAGGGGCGGGGCCATCAATGGGAGCGTGGGAAGGGGAGTAAAAGGGACCCCTTGGGGACATCGGGGGGGTTTGGGGCCCCTGGGTTCCCAAACCATCACAAATCCTGCTGGATCCCAAGGAATGATCCCAAATGATCTCAAATCCCAAATCCTGGATCCCAAAAAATCCCAGATCCCAAATGCTGCTGGATACACAAAACCAATCCCAAACAATCCCAAACCCCAGATCCCAAATCCTGCTGGATCCCTAGGAATCCCAAACAATCTCAAACTCTGGATCCCAAGCAATCCCAAAATTGCGCCAAATCCCGGATCCCAAGCAGTGTTAAATTCCAGATCCCAAATCCTAAGGAGTAGTCCCAAATGATCTCCAATCCTGGATCCCAAACAATGCCAAATTGCAGATCTCAAATCCTACTGGACACTCAAAACCAATTCTAAATCCTCTCAAATTCCAAACCCTGGATCCCAAAAAATCCCAGATCCCAAATGCTGCCAGATACCCCAAATCTGATCCTAAAAGATCTCCAGTCCTGGGTCCCCAAACATCCCAAATCCCAGACCCCAAATTCTGCTGTATCTCCAGAAACAATCCCAAAAACCAAATCCAAATCAGGGTCCTGGCAGGGGAAATCAGAGCCCTGGGTGGGGTAATTGGGCCCTGAGGGGGTCAATAGAGTCCTGGAAGGATAAATGGGAACCTGAGGGGGAAATGGGTCCTGGAGGGATAAATGAGGGCCCTGAGTGGTAAGTGGGGTCCTGAAAGGATGAATGGGGGGAAATCAGGGTCCTGGCAGGGGAAATCAGAACCCTGGGTGGGGTAATTGGGCCCTGAGGGGGTCAATAGAGTCCTGGAAGGATAAATGGGGTCCTGGAAGGGTAAATGGGATCCTGAGGGATTAAACGAGAGCCCTGAGGGGTAAGTGGGGTCCTGAAAGGATGAATGGGGGTAAATCAGGGTCCTGGCAGGGGAAATCAGAACCCTGGGTGGGGTAATTGGGCCCTGAGGGGGTCAATAGAGTCCTGGAAGGATAAATGGGATCCTGAGGGATTAAACGAGAGCCCTGAGGGGTAAGTGGGGTCCTGAAAGGATGAATGGGGGTAAATCAGGGTCCTGGCAGGGGAAATCAGGGCCCTGAGGGGTCAGTGGGGTCCTGGCAGGGAAATGGAGCCCTGGGGGATGGATCCGGGCTCCGAGGGGTTAAAGCCAGCCCCGAAAGGTTCCCTGAGGTCCTGGCAGGGCCAGTTCTGCCCCTCGGGGGAGGATCAGGGTGTGGGGCCCTCCCTCCTCCCAGCCTCGACGCCCTCTGCCCTCAGAGCTCCGGCCGCAGCCTGCGGATGGGGACAGAGATGGAGCCCAAGGTGGGAACCCCAAAACCCCAGGGTCACCCCCAGAGGGCACCTGAGGGGATTTGGGGGGATTTGGGGGGGATTTGGTGAAGTTTGGGAACCCCCAGAGCCATGGGTGCGGCTGGGAGGGAAAAGGGAAGTGGAAAGTTCCGGAGTCCGGGGAGTTCAGAGGGGCCGGGGAGGGAGAAAATGGGGGATGGGACCCCCTAAATTCCTGTGGGGATTCAGGTGGAACCTCCCAAAATCTCACCTGGGTACCTGGGAACCCCAAAACCTCCCTGGAGCCTCACCTGGGACACCTGGGAAACCCCAAATCCTTGGCTTCTCACCCTGGGACTCTCCAAACCTCACCTGGGAATCCCTTGGGACCCTCACCTGGACCCCTGGGACCCTCCAAATCCTCACCTGTGCAGCTGGGAAACCCCAAATATTTCGGAATTCTCAACTGGGAAGCCCCAAATCCCTGGGGAACCTCACCTGGGACCCCAAAAACCTCACCTGGGGCCCCTCCAATCCCTTGGGAGCCTCACCTGGGACCCCCTTGCCCCCATGTCCACCCTGCCCCCCCCCATGCCATGTCCTCTAGATGTCCCCTGCTCACCTGGGACCCCCAAACCGGTGGCCCTGGCCGAGGCCTTGGGGACACCGGACAGTGTCCCCGCGGCGCTGGCTGAGGCCGAGGCCAGGCTGAGCCAGGCCCAGGTGGCCATGAAGGGGCTGGAGGCAGCCCGGGAGGCCGCGGTGGCCCCGGCGGTGGCCCTGGGGACCCTGGGGGACGAGGACGAGCAGCGGCTGTGGTGGCTCGCGGCCATGGCCGAGGCGGCAGCAGCGGCGCTGGGACGTGAGGAGGAACGGGCACGGCGGTGGCAGCGCTGGCTGCGGGCTGGGCACGGGGTCACCATGGGGCTGATGGTGCTGTGCGCGGCCGTGCATGAGTAAAAAACCAGTATAAACCAGTATGGACCAGTATGGACCTGTATAAACCAGTATGGACCAGTGTAGACCAGTACAGAGCAGTTTAGATTAATTGGGCTGCGGGCCAGGCATGGGCTGGCCGTGGGGCTGATGGTGCTGTGTGGGGCTGTGTGTGAGTAAAGACCAGTATGGACCAGTATAAACCAGTATGGATCAGTATAGACCAGTATGGAATGGTATGGACTAGTATGGGATAGTATGGACCGATACAGACCAGCATAAACCAGTACAGACCAGTATACATCTTGATAGTACACTGTGGGAGGTCTGTACTGCCTCAGTGGGAGGCACTACAGACCAGTATGGACCAGTTCAGACCAGTATAAACCAGTATGAATATCTACAGACCAGTAGAGACTTCCCCCTGCCCAGATCCGTACAGACCAGTTTGGACCAGTACAGACTAGTTCAGACCGGTATAGACCAGTATGAATACTTACAGACCAGTAGAGTCTTCCCTCTGCCCTGTCCAGTATAAACCAGTATAGACCAGTATGAGGCACTGTAGAGCAGTATGGATCATTATGAACCAGTATAGAGCAGTGGGTTCCAGTTCAGACCAGTATGGACCAGTATGAGTTTCTACAGACCAACAGAGACTTTCCCCTGCCCTGAACAGTCCAGACCAGTCCAGACCAGTATGGACCAGTATAGAGCAGCATGGGGCAGCAGGGGATGCAGGGAACCAGTACAGACCAGTTCAGACCAGTACAAACCAGTATGGAGCCCTTCAGACCAGTAGAGACCTTCCCCTGCCCTGGGATGGGAACACTGGGATTGAACTGGTGACACTGGGATGACTCACTGGGGTGGTGACACTGGCACAGTGACAATGGAGTGGGGACATTGAGCTGGAATTGGGGACACTGGGCTAGTGACATTGGTACAGGAACAATGGGGTGCTGGCACTGGGAGCACTGGGCTGGTGGCACTGGGACAGGACTGGGGACTGTGGACTGGAACTGGGTTGGTGACAGGGTGGTGGCACTTGGGTGGTGACAATGGGACAGAACTGGTGGCACTGGGCTGGAACTGGGGACAGTGGGAGGGGACTGGTGACACTGGGACAGAGATAGTGGGACAGGACTGGGGGCACTGGGATTGAACCGGTGACACTGGGCTGGTGCTATGTGTGGTATGGGTGACACTGGCATGGTGACATAGGTATGGGGACAAAGGGGTAGTGGCACTGGGCTGGTGGCACTGGGACACTGAGCTGGAACTGGGTTGGTGACACCGAGCTGGTGGCACTGGGCTGGAACTGGTGACACTGCCATGTCCCGGGTGCCACCTGTCCGGTGTCCCCATGTCCCTGCAGTGTCTCTGGACTCGGCCCGCGCCGCCCTGGGGGTGACCGAGGACTGTCACCTGCTGCTGGCCCTGACTGTGGTGGCCGTGTCCTGCGAGGTGGCCTGGCGGGGCTTGGAGACATCGCGACATCACCTGGCCACCGCCGCGGACCGCCAGCGGGACATGGCCCTGCGCCTGCGGGACCGCGCCCGGCGGGTGGCGGCCACCAGGGCCAGCGCCGAGGCCACCGCGGCCACCAACGAGGCCACTGCGGACGCGCTGGGGCGGCTGGAGAAGGTGACGCAGGACCTGAAGATGTTGGTGGCCGCTGTCAACCAGGATAGGGAGGTGACGCCGTGGGGGACACGGGGACAGGGCTTCCCCAGCGCTGCCCGGGCGCTCGGGGACATCGTGGTGGGCTTGGTGACACTGGGGGAGGGGCACGAGGAGGTGGCGCGGAGGCTGGAGGCGGCCCAGGGGGCGCTGGCGGGGCAGAGGTAGGGACGGGCTGGGGACACGGGGGGGGGGGGGGC